GGAACAAGGCGAAGAATTGTACGGACCACACTGTTTATATAAATATCCAGAAGATATGAGCGTCCTATACGATGTTAACGATTTGGTGATACACTATGTAAAGCGACAAGTGAATATCCAGAAAGAGGAGAAGCGTAATACGAAGCGTTATTTGAAACGTTTCATACCGGAAATGTTTAATGTCCCGCAGCAAGAGCTGAGCGATGAAGAAGATGTCCCGGAGGATCACCAAAATCCACCTGGTGCGTAATTCTTTTGCATTATCTGAAAGATTTTGAATATCCGGGTTGAGATATTTTGTAGGATTAGCAACTGTATGGGTGAATTGGCCAATAGTTCTGCCTTTTGGGAAGGTGGCCGATCACTTAGATTAGGTCTTACGTCATTTTTGCTTCAAAATCTGAGTTTTGCGGTAAGCTGATTATAGCATGATTGTAGCATAAAAGTAATATGAAGAACTGGAATAAGGCAAGAATAGAACGAATTATGTAATGAAGAATTTAGAAATATAGCTGGCGTAGGAAAAATAAGTACGAAAGAGTTAAGACGTTTCGGTCCATGCCTTTTGGAAAGTGGCCTCTCAGCCAGGAAAAATTTTGCTTCATTTTTCCTTCAAAATTTGAGTTTTGCGGTAAGCTGATTATAGCATGATTGCAGCATACAACTAATATAAAGAATTTAAATAGAGAAAGAATAGAACGAAAAATGTGATGCAAGAAGTAGAAATATTGCTGGTACAGGAAAAATAAGTACGAAAGAGTTAAGACGTTTCGGTCCATTAAGTCATATAAGTCTTAGCTCAACATCGCGACTGGACCTCGTCAGTATGACGGTCGCAGTGTTCAGAGCTGAGATGAAAAAGAAGAAGGAATGGAGGACAGGAAGAAAGAAGGGGGAGCCTGGGAATGCATGTTTGCACGTTTTTGTTACTGCATAAGAGGTTTTGTAAAAGTGTTATGGGTGCCTAGAACAACGATGATTTTGGCGTGAAAACAGACGAAGAACGACGCTGGACGGCGCTGACGCTGACTGTTCTTGTCGGAGATACAGGGTGTAGAAAACACAACTTTATCGAACAAAACACGTTGAAATTACAGTCAAAATTCTGGACAGCTGGGTAATGGACGAAACGCAGCACCACAGCAGCACAT